AAAAGATTTACAAATATTTGAACGGGAGAACCATATGATTTACTTCGCAAGTAAAGTGTTTCTGTGATGTCAAAATATTTTTTTAAATTATCAGCAGTTACATAATACATGTTAGCACTTATTTGTGAATTCGACATCAAATATTTGTTCAGAATTATTTGTAAATATTCGTTAACAATCTGTATTTAACTAATAAAAGGCAAGTAGAAGCTTTATAATAATAGCCAAGCTGCTTTCAGTTAATTCATCTTACAATATGTATGAAAATATCATTTTTCATTTAATATTTTAAGCTATGTAATCAAAATAAATGCATACTAAAACAATCGTATCACAGATAATGAAAACAATCTTTTGAACTTTGTCTAGTAATAGATTATAATTTAAAAAATAATATTACTATAGAAAAACAAAAAAAAGAATGTTTTACTACGTAGAAATCATTCTATGAGAAATCGTACAAATATTTGCAAGAAAAGAAATTTGTTGAGCTTTTCTCATATCTGATTATTCTAATGGATTAATTTACTTCTCTACATTTTTCTTCTTGTAATTTAGATTTTCTTTTTTTTTTTTTTTTTTTATTTATGTAAGATTATATTTTTGTTTTTTTTATTAAAGTAAAATTTTATTGAATGGATCACATAAGTTAACTTCAATTTTCATTTAAAATAAAATAATATTTATATCTTTATATAAAAGTTATTAAAATTCTAAGTAGTTTATCAGTAAAACATGATGTATTATTCTTATATATACAAAAAAACAACAACATAATTTTTTCTCTCTTTTTTTTTTGTTACTTCCTGTTTCTGTGAAGAAACTTTCCTTATCTTTATCGCTTCGTATTTACAAGAAAGAAAAAAAAAGAAGACACAAAAGATAATTTCTAACATATATAATTTTATGCCTAATAGACTTTTTGTTTAACAAAAGTTATCAAAAAATTGACGCGTCAAAGCTTTCATATATATAGGTAAATAAATTATTGTATTTGAATTATAAAACAGAATTTTTTATTTGATCGCGCCTTTTACAATTATTAAATGGTAAGATTTACGAAAAAAAATATATGCGTAGTACTATAAACATTAAACCGATTACATATTTACAGTAATCATCAAAAGTCACACTTGCAGATAAATAAATATATAAACCTGAATCTTTTGATCTTATACATTGCTCACAAATAGAGTCAGATGAGTTCTGATAGCAAACAGTAATCAGAACTTGATCGAAATTCATTCGAAGACATTTCAGCATTGGTAACAAACTCTATAGAATATGATCCCCACTTCTAGAGTCAATTGCTGTTTCTCTCGTAGATAAGTGCTATGTCAAACAATTGTAGTTTGCTTGATTTATGAAATTATCATTGAGTATTCTTAGTCTGATAGTTGATCAACTTTGTCAACGGGTAATTAGTAATTCCAATTATTTACCTTGAAATTTTCTCTAATGTTTTGTTGGTTCTAATCAAATATTTCTGGAAAATGACATATTTGTACCAATTGACAAAGTCCTAGGTAATGGAAATATTATTATGCTTCAAAGTTATCGTAGATTTTCGTCCTCTATCTGTGACATAGTAAAGACATGTTGAACTTGGCATGTCAATAAAGCGATATATGTTAGCGCTTGGAAATAATGACAAAACCCGAAAAGTATTTCTTTGTTAATTTTAAATTCTACACGTTCAGGTCAATTAGCTTCGAGTTTATGCTTATGATCAAACTTTACTCGAACTCTGTTTTTAATAAAAAATAGTATGAGTGACAACATCAAATTGATGTACTGCAGACTTGATAGCGAGACTTTTGGTGACTACTATTATTAGAATACTTATATCATCTGGATGAGTTTTTCTTTTCAACTATTTATGAACAATTAAACTCTTAACAAAACCTTCTTTTTTTTTAATGACTTATAAAATTGATAATTATAAGTTATTTTCTTTAGAGTTCAATCCAAATTTACTTGTTTTTTTGTTTTGAATATGAAAGAACTTTGATCTTAGATTTGCATCTTTTATTACATAAAACCCGACCTATCATATACATAGGATTGTCTGTAATTGTATTTTAATTAATCATATTATAAGATATGATTAGGCTAAGGATGTTTTCACAAACTAGTTGATGTTTGTAAATTTTTTTGTTTATTAATCTTAGCATCCGGAATGATAGTCTAATTAGGTTTTTTTCTCATCATACAGAGCAGCCTAAAGAAAAAAAAACACCAAAGTACTATCTTACTTAATCTTCTTTTCTTCCTTCTTATTTATAGAATATTAGTTTCATTGACCAGAACAAAGCTCAATCTGTTTATCATCTATTCAAAGTATTGTTAAGTTTTATTTCTATATGTTCGACATAGATTCTTAAATATAAACATACAACAGCACTTTTCATAATTACTTTTATGAAAAAAAAGATTTTAATCATACTGAAGAAAAAATTCTTTTGCAATTATTATTATCATTCTGATCTTGTTACTATGAAAAGTGTCATCTTATTAAAAAAAATAGCATAAACATTAATTATACTGAATTTAGACATATGAATTCAACAACAAATAGCTCATTATTATTAACATTAACATGTTCATTACAAGTTCGTGTTTATACATCAGATTATTTATTTTTTAAATTACTTAATTGGACTTATTTACGTTTACTTATTGGCCCAGGTATATTACTTAATGCACTTTGTCTTTTTGTTCTTTCACGTCCAAGATTATCAAATAAATCAACAACTGTTGTCTTTTTGCGATTTCTTGCAATTTTTGATATTTTGGCCATTACACTTAAATATATTCGAGCTGAACTTAATTATCAATCAATTGAAAAAAAGAGAGATATTATTATAATAACACCTACATTTTGTAAAATACTTTATGTATGTATGAATGCATGTATTTCAATAGCTATGTGGACTATCGTTTTAATGAGTTTGTAAGTAATTCAATATAAAAATAAGAATTCATGATCTATTATTTGTTTCAGAGATAAAGCTGTGGCTGTCAGTTATCCACTCAAATCTAGTATATGGATAACACAAAAACGAGCTTTTTATGTATGCTGTCTTACAAGTCTTGTATTTTTATTTGGCAATTTACCTTTTATTACATTATCCGATCTACGTTCAGCCCATAATAATCAAGGATATTGTGGATTAACCAAAGATTCTTTGATAATTGATATTATTACAGCTTCTATTTTACCTATTGGTAAGTATTATTGAATATATAAACTATGATATTCATTCATTCTTACTTATTAATTAAATTATTTCTATGATATATAATATCATTGAGAAGACATAGATGTGAACACGTTTGTCATATAATGATTGGAAGTATTCTAGGACTTAGATCAACATGTAATGATAAGCAAGTTCATAAACTAAATAGCATAGTTATAGAATAACAGAAAAAATCTATAAGTAAATGT